AATTTCATGTAAAATTTAGTGTTATAAATAGTTTTCGAGTAAAGGCTCAAATGATGAAGATATTAATTTTTGAGCTGTTAAATGTAATAATAATTATATAAAAAGATAAATGTAGAATTTAGTGGTTTAATGGTGATATTTTTCGAGTGATTGAAAATAATTATACAAATTCTTATTAGTTAACGTCTTCTGAAAATTGTTGTTGAAAAAGTGTTATTCAGTTTTAAAAGGAAGCAAGCGCTACACAAAATACATTATTATTAATAAAATTATTAACATTTACCTGTATTATGCCTGTGTTCTACTATTATAACTGAGAAAATTTTAAACAAAAGTTAAAAATTCACGTTATAAGAAAAGCGACGTTAATTTTTATATGAGAAAACAAATTATTTACCACTTTCTGTAACATTTGTTTAATATTAAAGATAAAATTACTGCAAAATATGACAGTCAACCGCAATTGAGTGATTATTTTAATATCTATAGTCGTCGATCATATTATCGATGATGGATCGTTATCCATCACTGAACTGTTAGATTGTGTCTAAAGTATAGGTAAACAGTAGGATTATTTCTTCAGTTCAACTAATTAATAAATGAAGAACTTATCCCTAAGTTCGGTGAAATATATTCATAAAAGTCATGTAAAATCAACAAATGGCAATATTGTCTGCACAAAATGATGTCAAAGAATAACGATGACTTAAAATACTGGTTGGCTTATAAAAATCATTCTTCGATTTTAAAAGCTGAACGGAATATCGTTACAATTTTACTGGAATAACGAAATAATAAGTAACTGCTATTTTCCTTTTTAAACAATTATTCCAATAAAATAACGCGTCTTCAGAAGTAGTTTTTGTCTATAGAAAATAGTGGTAGTCGTATGTCTCTCAACTATGGTAGAAGGTAATGACACTATTATCTATGGTAATGACATGTTCAATGTTAATGACAGATTTACAGTTGATTAAATTACTATAATTCGTGTTAATTAATTGTATTCAATTATAGTGAAAGAGGTAGTTTGAGTACTAGTGATTAACTTATACAGAAAGTGGCGAATTTTATGGGTATTTGTATAAAAGTTGTCAACAAACATATCATATCGTTCATAATTTTATAGTTAACCTACTTTTGAATAGGTATAAGGAACAGTTAAAGAAAGCTATTTTCACTTTGTTCAACTTTGATTTGCCCTACATATTTTTACTTTGAAACGAATGTATGTTAATATTAACTTGTAATCATGAGTGATACGACATCCAATACAGAAAGTTCGGATCGCCCTTCGAGTCAACTAAATTTTGGTGCTTTCAAAGTCCACGTTTTAGCTCACAAAATTGATGTGACGTTATGGGTAATTAGAATTCTGACAATATTTTTTACAATTGGTTACTTCATTCCTGTTTATTGGTAAGGTCAATATAAATTTAATTAAATTTCAATTAAGCTGTTTTTCTGTTTTTATTAAGGAGCTCTTATAATGCCTACTATAAAGCATTATTAGCTAACGCAGCCACTAGTGCCCTTCGCTTACACCAGAGATTAGGAACTGTGCAGTTTAATGCACAGTTTCTTGCAAAAGTATTGTTAGAAGATAGTTGCCATTATTTATTTTATTCACTCATATTTTTATATGTACCTCCAGTTACATGTATCCTTTAAAAAATTCTTATTTATATATGCATACTATCTCATTAAATAAAAACTGGTTTGTATTGTATTATGTACATTTTTTCCTTAATGAAATTGTAGTGGTTCTGTTACCAATATTACTTTTTGCCATTTTACATGCTTCAAGTTATGCCTTAACGTTACTTGATGTAAGTAAAATCTCTTAAATATTTTAAATTAAGGTGAATTATTCTCTTTCTTTTTTATTTCAGACCTTAGGACACAATGCATGGTGGGGAGCTCGTCTATTAATTTCAGTTGTAGAGTTTCAGTCCAGAAATATTTTAAGGCTAATAAGTTTTACAGAAATTTTCCTCATGCCTTTAACTGTATTTTTGGTGTTGATGTAAGTATTACCATAATGTAATCAAACATAATTTTGCAAAAACAAGATTGGTGTGTAGTAATTAAGTTGTCAAATTATATTGTATCTAACTATACACTCACTAACATTCAATTTAATTGTCTTCTTTTATCTTGAAGCATTAGAAATGTAAGAATAAATTGCAAAATGGTAATTAAACAGCATTGTTTAATTGTTTCTAGTGATATACCTGGTTATTTACATGTTGCATATTGAAAGATAGCATTTGTTCTTAGTTATAATATGATTTGTCATTTATCACAAATAAAACTTAAAAGATAATAATTTAAATGCCTTGAATTTACAATTAAAAACTTGTCTTAACGTAATCTAAGCATTAAATTTTAATGTTTACAAGCAAACTTCAGTGTTCCTTTATCGTTAAAGCAAAATAAGATTAGAAGAATAAAAGTTGTACATTAATAAATTTCATAAATAGTAAACCTACCATTAGAAAATACTGAAAAAAATTATACTGAATATTTTTCTTAAAATTAGAATTTATAATTGATATTTAAATGTTTTCAGGGGCAAAGGTGGTCTTTTGACACCGTTTATTTATTACCATTTTCTAGTCCAACGATACAGCTCAAGAAGAAACCCGTACACCAGAAACATGTTCCACGAACTACGTGTTGTTTTTGAATCATTTGCAGCCAAACCAAATATGCCGGGTTTCATTAGATCGTTTATATTATTTGTAATCAATTTAACATGCAAATTAGCACCTCCGCAAGTTACTGCACAACCTCACACTCAGTAAAATCAAGATTGGTTTTTAAACCTCTTTCTTATGTATTTTGTCACGTTATATTCAGGAAGGTATTGATAGTCATATTGTAGTGTGTTGCATTCCATTAAGTTAGCATAAATATTCTTATTAATTAATATCATTATAATGTAAACTCAAATGGTGCAGTTATTTTTCTTACCTTTTATTCGTTTTTTAACGATTTGTTAACCAGACGTATCTTTGCAATATAGATAATATATTAATATTCGCGTTACTAGTTTTTAGATTTTTTTAATTCGGTGAAGGATTTGTTGCATGCTGTTATGTCTGCATGATTTATTTATTCAAAATGTGAATGTAATTGGTCGACGTTATTTTCTATTTTTTAATGGCTCATTTTTAAGCTACTTAAATATCAGAGAACTAACGTTCGAAAATTGCTATATAGATGGATTTTGATTGTCATCATTTGTTTTTACTATTTGAGTATTGTTATTGTTTTTTTTTTCAGTAGAACAGTTTAATTAAAATCTCTATTATCTTGTATTTTGTTAAATATTGTTGTGTTGGTGTTATGTGTAAAAAAAAATAGAATCTATTTTTAAAACCGTTTGTCATTTTGAAAAGTAACTTACCTTCCTTTTTATTTAAATAAGTGCAATAATAAGTACATATTTAATCGATAAAATAACAAAAATTTCTTTGAGTAATGAGTTTGTAAAAATTTACATATGTATTTTCCTTCAAAACGACTAGAAATATTTGGATGTTTTATTAAACTATAAATCCATAGTTAGGTGTATTATCTTAAATTCAGCACTCATGGTTATTTAGTAACTATTTTGAATTGTTTATAATAAACTCATTTGTTATAACCAATACATTATTTAAAAAAGTAGTCTACATTACTTGTTACTTACAGTAGAAATTTAAATTACTATAGGGATCTACTACCAATAACTTGATACTATTCAAATTGCGCCATTGGTGGTAGGTTACCTTGTTTAAACACCCTTTAGATTTATATTGTCATAGTAACGAAAGCATGCTGTCAATTATCGTATTGTATTAACGATACGACGATAAATTTTTAGTTTTAACGTATATAGCGTATTATAAGCATGAGAGTAACGTATTGTACAGATCTTGATAAAAGTGTTGTTGTTACGAATTGTGAAAAACGTGGTTGGATCCAGGTTGGACCAGAAGATGATTGGAACATATACTGGGCTGGCACCCTTACCTGTAGAAGTCTATTTAGTGTAGATAGTGGATATAGGATGAGTGATAACCAGTTGAGTAAATATGTACATTCCTAATAACTTTTAGGAACATCAATGCTTTATTTTAATATGTATATAAGAATTAAAGTTAACTTTCATACAATGAAGAATACCGTTAGTACAAAAAGTTTTTTATTAATGTTTCAAGAAAAACAATATTGAGGTGGTTAAATTTAAATTGTTTGATTATAGAATAATTAATCACTTTCCAAATCATTATGAAATATCACGAAAAGACCTCTTAGTAAAAAATGTAAAGAGGTATAGAAGAGATTTAGAAAAAGAAGGCAATTTAATGGCAGAAAGAGGAGATTCCAAATATCTACATCTGGACTTTATTCCTGTAACATTTGTACTCCCGGCAGATTATAATATGTTTGTGGAAGAATATCGAAAAGCACCTCAAAGTACATGGATTATGAAACCTTGCGGACGTTCTCAAGGATCAGGAATTTTTCTCATAAATAAACTGTCGAAATTAAAAAAGTGGTCAAGGGAAGCCAAAAATCCATTGCAGCCTCAACTAAGTATAAAGGAAAGTTACGTTATATCTAGGTAATATAAGATACACTTCGTTACAAGTAAGAACCAAAATTTTTCATTATACTAATAAGTTCAAAATAACAAGATTAATTTACATACATTCTTGTTTTTTTGTAACCAATCAAGCAGAAAGTAAATTAATTTTGAAAATTAATTTTGCAGATACATTGATAACCCATTACTAATTGGTGGTAAAAAGTTTGATTTACGTCTATATGTGTTGGTAACATCATTTCGTCCTTTGAAGGCTTACTTATTTAAATTGGGTTTCTGTAGATTTTGCACGGTTAAATATAACTCAAGTGTTGCAGAACTTGATAACATGTATGTTCATTTGACAAATGTTTCGGTCCAAAGACACGGGGTAACTATTCTCACACTTTTAAGTAATATTACTTAAGGTAACTACTATTTAACTTTAGGCAGAATATAATTCTCTCCATGGAGGAAAGTTAAGTGTTCAAAATTTAAGATTGTTTTTGGAAAGTACTCGCGGCAAGCAAGTAACTGAAAGACTTTTTGATCAAATAAGTTGGCTAATAATACATTCATTAAAAGCCGTACAACCAGTTATTGCTACAGACAGGCATTGTTTTGAATGTTACGGATATGATATTATTATCGATAATAAGTTAAAACCTTGGTTAATAGAGGTAAGTGTTTCAAGACAACATGGTAGGTACATTAAACATGGAATTTTGAACGCTATTTTTTTTTTCTGTCAAAAAAATACAAAAATAATACCGTATAATGCTAACAAACAATTTAAATAAAGCTCGGCCCCTAATTACTTTTTATCATCATTTATTAAAAACTAATTCCTTGAAAAAAATGCGATCAATACGACTCATTGGTAGGTATGTATTCATGTTTCTCGTTAAATATTTTTTAAGATAATCAGTGGTAACAAACTAAAACTAGTTTTACACAACTTGTAGGTAAACGCATCTCCTGCATTGACGTCTACAACGGCAAACGACAGAATTTTAAAACACAAACTAGTTGATAACATTCTTTCCATTGTGATTCCTCCATCAGGCTATCCCGAGTAAGTTACACGAATACAAACATGTTTTCAAATGTGCCAGTTTTTTGTTTTATTTGTGTTTGAACCGGATTTTCAGAAATAGTAAATATATTACATTACATATTATTTTTGTTTTTTTCCAAAGTATTCGATGGAATAAAACACCTTCACACGAGGCACTGGGAAACTTCGAAGTTCTTATTGACGAAGATGTTTTATACTATGAAAACAGCGCGCATTTAGAAAGACTTCGGCAGGGAAAATGAACATTTTAAGTAATGTATAGTTCATATTACATAAAAATACCCTGTACTATTTGCACAAAAAAGACAGTTTTAATAAAACAGTCTGCTAATAAATATAGCATTTATTCAATTATTTAAGTTCATACTTTATATATATATATGCATGTAAAGTCGTGTGAACATTAATGACTAACAATAAAACATTAACAGATTAACATAGATATTTACATGTATTTATATTGTATACTGCAGGTAAATGTTGTAGTAAGTAGGTATATTAGAATATAAAATCACGTTTACTTTTAATAACCAGTGCAGATTAATATGAATTTTTTTTATGTAGATAACTTTGAAAATTTTCTGCTCTTTAAAATGCATATATTTTTTTAACAGTCGGAAAGTAATCTAAAATGGGTAAATATCAATAAAAGTTGCTGAATACTTTTTGAAAATCGCCAATGTTTCTTTTATGGTGACGCCAGTAGTTATGATTAAGCAAAGTTATTAGTTTGTAATTAAGTTAGCAAGGCACATTTTATTATTTCTTTTAAATGTAGGTACTTCTAATCTTTTTTCAAGCAAGCAAAACCGTAGTGAACTTGTAAATCTGAATATATATTCAGTCATATTATGGTTAAACAGAAAATATTTATTTAACAACATAAAATCACTGTAATATCACAAAATATTTTTTGGCTGTTTTTGGCACCAGTTCTATGTAGAAAGGAATTGTTAAACTGAAAGTCTAAAATGTTGACTTATTCGGCTTGGGTGTGATGTATATGTTGCTAAACATTTTTTTATTGAGGCGTTTTCATAAAATCATTACATTGTTTATGTAGAGATTATTTATATTACGCTTGATTACAGACGGAATTATAACTTTTGAGTATACAAGTTGTGTAAATTTGCGAAAACTTTCTAAGTTTCTAAATATGTACTTGTATGTATGCGTAATCCGTTATGATTGAAAACGTTAAATGTAGAGAAATACAAATATCACATATATTTTTAAATAGAATAATGTTAAATTGAAATGATGATATTACATCCTATATGATATTGCTAAAAATTAAATCGCGATTTATTTTAAGGTATATTGTGTTGTGAATCGGTTAATGTGATTGTTTCACTTTTTTTTTAAAGCTTTACTTTGTTTCAAATCGCCCTTACCCTAAGAACCACTAAATAAAAGAATTGTTTTGGGACTAGATTAGTGCCTTTTTAGGATTCAAATATAAAAATAACATAACAAGACTAAGAGACTAAGTTAAAAATTTTCAACTTCTTAGTTTAATCAAATAACAACCATAACTTAAATTTCGAGAAAGAATGATAAATATATGAAAGAATAAATATAAAATAAATATCAGTAAGTGATGGTGTAAAAATAATTTGTATGAGCTACAACTGCTCATAACATCAACTTATAAGTATACAATTGCTATTATTAAAGAGATTAAGTCTTTCGACCGTCAAATAAAATATTTAATTAACAAATGTTATAGTTGTTAATTTTAAGACTTAACTACAACTTTTCTTTAAAATTGCTTAATAATTGAGTGTACAACTAATGGTATGTGTGAAAATTTTGATTATTCATTTTTGGTATATTTAACTTTACCAGCCAGAAGGGAGGTAAATATTGATTTAGATCATAATCAGTATTACTCATATAAAATAATTTATTAGTTGCTGATATTGTTATATTCCAAAAATTTATAACTTAGTTTCTGAAATGAATTCAATAAAGTTTAATGGCGTTTTTAGGGAAAAACGGAAACTGTAACTAATTTTTATGCTAAAAATATATTATTATAATACCAAATTCACGAGAATGTATTTAATTTAATGTTGGATTTTTCTAATCGTTCAACCGTGCTCCGTTAGAATTATAATTAAATACGAAAAGCTGAAATACTGCCAGTACTTTTAGGCTATTTTTAATGTGTATATGACATAGATTACTTTAATGTATAAAACGATCCATAGTTAAACCCTTTCGGTAACAATAAATTATTACCTATTTAAATAAGCTACATGAGAATAATACACTACAGACCCTCTGGTTTTGGAATGTTTGTGTCGTATGCTCTGATGACGTCTGCTTGTGAAACGGATCCACCTTCTTCTTGCGAAAATGCAAAACCATCTAACAAGACAATTTATAAATACCCTTTTTTTGATATTCCTCAACCAATTTGTTAGAATGTTAATATTACGAATTATCTATTCTTTACAATATATACACCCGAAATATTTTTAATTTTGCAAAGAATAACATGAATTTTTAACGAAAAAAATTGCATAAAATTATAAAAGATTTATAGGAGTAATTAGTAAAGTTGTTAAAATTGTTACCCATACGAATTTAAAAGCAATCCAGGACGTCAATTTACAGTACAAAATGTTAAATAAACGATCGGGAGAAAATGTAAAATAGAAAATAAAACCTCCCCTACTAATAATTGCAGTGTATCCCCATCATATAACTTTTCATTTATAAACACAATGCTGTAATTGTTACATATTATGAAGTGGGGACGATATATTTTTAAAACGTTAAAGTCTGAGACTTTTTGATAATTTGGCCGATTTTAGTATTCCTTTAAGAAACGATGTGATTAAAAAATAGGAATTACACGCAATTATACGTATAAAGTAAATATGTCCGCATATTAAAACCGATTTCAATAGGTACTTCGCTAAATGTACAAATTTAAATGTAAAAGTTAAAGACAGACACCACTCCCTAATTCTCCACCGTAAAAGGTGGAATATTTTCTTAAAACTTAAATGGGATCACCCTTGATATATATATATTATATTATACAATAAAAAAATCAACGAAGAAATCGAGTAATATACATTCAAAAAAATTCAGCTGAACTGAGAACCCCCTTTTTTTGAAGCCGGTTAGAAATAACTACACGTTTCTACTAGTTATGTAGGCTAAATAGTGGTTGTATTTTCTACCATAATTGGTGTTTGCAACAGCGCGGTGTTAAGAAAGAAGAGTGTTTTACTTACGAGACAACTCGACTTCCAAATCGCATCTAGTGTGGGTATTCTTAAAAAAAACGCTGCGTACGTTCTGAAGAAGACGAGCGGTTTCAGAAAGCCTGGAACCAGTGTTATTGTGGCATTTCTTTTTAAGCAAAAAACAGCGATAAAAGCGATCTATGCACCGACATCTACCCTTTAAGACATGCGTCAACTTTTAAATTATACTATTGCGAACACTTGTTCATGCAGTTTGTTTAATTGTTAGTTTTAGTTAAAATAAAAATAAACTGTATCACTATACTGGGTACTTACACATGGCGAATCTTTCCAACGCATGCAACGTTCTTGCAAAAACAAAACAACATAATTAACAATCCGAAACGACAAATAAAAACAATGGTAGAGACAGTCAATTATATTCGTCTCAAAACGAAAAGCAGTTTCTTCTATTTTATTTAAGTAATGCCTCCTTCTAAACTGATATTTTGTAACCGGTAATAGTAACTGCAATAAGTTCAACGCTAAACCGAAATAACTTTTAAATACCTTATAAAATTTGTAGGCCTGTCAAGTGCTATCTAATATTTTCGTAATCAAGTGAAATATTTATTTCGAAATCTTAATAGCTCCTAAAACTTAATAGCGAAAACATTTAAAATTTTATAAAGGCATTGAAAAATTGCTACATTTAGCATTAAGCATATCATTTCATTAATAAATAAATTACAATTTAAAAAAGATTTAAAAGGTTATTAGAAAAACTGCCTTTACTAACAAAGAAATAAATGTTTTAAAAAGGAATAACAATATAAATGATACACTTTTGAACAAATTTCCGCAATATATACAAGCTACTCAAAACAATACATCAACTGTTCAGCTATATCAATAACTTAAACACATCAATAAGCAATAATGAATACCTACATGTTTAAAAAAAGAAATGCATCTTCACTAATACTTTGAATATCTCAGATTTTATTTATTAATTACTGTGAAATATTTCTCATTTATGATAGGTAAGAATTACCTTTCTTAAGTCTTACAGCAACTCAGTGTAAATATTTGTACAGTTGAATAATATTTTACCAGTTTTATAAATAAATAAATACTTCCTTGAAACGATTGTGAATACTTTGCAAAAAAAAGATTCAATAAACTACAGAATGAAAAAGATAAGAATTTGTAAACGAGACTTTTTTGTAATAATTAAATATCAAATTGGCTAAAATTATTAATACTAGGTCGGTTGACTTAATTGTCTTTAAAAAACCGCAGCATTGTAGTCACTTTAATAGTTAGACGGTAATATTGAATTGGTATATAAGTACTTGATATTGATTCGTGTTTATAAACTGGGATGAGTCCATATTTAATATTAATATTAGTACTTAGCAAGCAAGCTTATACTTGAACTTTTACTAAAAATGCAGAATAATGTATCGATTAATAATACTTTTAACTAGATAGTCCAAAACAGGTAGCATCCTTATTTTTTTATCATCTAGATTCCATTTGGTGTCACAAAGTAAAACGTTTTCCAGTTGGTGTTACAATATTATTATTCACTTTCTTCCTTTTTGAACGAACAACAATGGTCCGGTAACTAAAGAAAATAATCCTTTCTAAACTTTAATTTCGTTTCACATGAAAACACTAAAAGTGTATTAGCCACACGAGTGACAAAACAAAAGCACCACTTTCCTCCAAAAACCCTCTATCAACTACGTATGTATAAATAAATCCTGTGATAAAGACAAAAAGCACACACTCATTTATGTATGTACACACAACTTTTAAAACATATTTATCAAATACATCATATGTAATGTACCATCATTATCATATAATAATAAGAACTTAAATGTGTGTACACCTTAAAACCACGCAGATTATGTATATAAAAAAAATAATGTAATTAAACAGCATTGTTTAATTGTTTCTAGTGATATACCTNCCTTCTTGTGATATGGAAATAAAATAAAAATCAGTAAAAATAACACTGTAAGACCAAAAAAAAATGAAAATGAACAGTAAAATGTAAACTCAACTGGAAGACAATTTTTTTTGTCTTTGACTCAATTGGGCAATGCAAATTTTGGTTTTTGAGTAAAATAAAAATGTTTTTATTTAAAATTTTTTATAACGTATGCCAATAATAGCAGCAAAATACGGACGCATTTTTCTTTTGACTGACCTAAATATTCTCAGTGGGATGTGCAAGTAGCTTTGAAAGTGAAATAAGCTGAAAAGTTAAAAAAAATGTGGTCAATTTAGAGCAATCAGACAGTGAATTCAGCTAAACACATGGTGAAATGATCTAACAAAGCCAATAATGTCGTAGATTAGAACACATTTAGTATTTTTATTCACTAATTCAGACCCATAAGGACTTTTGCAAGAACTTTTTCATTGTGTTTTCTATTTAAATAAATACATCTATAGCTCATATTTTATATCACTACTAGTAACACAAAAACATGTTTTAACTATTGTATGTTGTATCTGGGAATATATAAATGAGTTTTCTGTTTTTAAAACCAATTTAGCCAATGTGACTATAAAAACTCAAAAATTTGTTTTTTTTCCTAATAACGAATCCAAAAAGATTACAATCTAATTTTGCTAGTATATAATTTCTTCGGCAATTGTAGCACATAAACAAACAAAAAAATGCTGGACTAGACTAATTCATTGTGTTCTTTAAATAATTTCATTATCAACGCAATGCAATGATCCAACTCTTTTCGCAATTAGCGTACGATAAATTTTGATAACTCATGCAAACTTTTCCAATGCCAAACTAATCACCAGTGAACGAACAAGCACATCGCCTAACACATTCATGCACGCAACAGAGTGATATTTATATTTTATTAAACGAACACTTACGAGCTTTTCGAGTCTTTCGAAAAGACGCTGCTAGGATCGGTTTTTCGGATTTCGCTTTCACGCATCGCATCTGTTAATGTTTTAAATACGGTACTCTGTACGCTGTGAACAAAAGCGTCGAAATATAGTCATTAAGAACCAACATAACCGCAGGAAGTAAAAAGATAAATGAAGGAATTGTTTGTATGGGTTCCATGGAGAAGAGTTCTAGGATAGTTACACTAAAAGCGAGCTACAAAACTGATATCAATTGCTGTCGTTACTTACACTTTGACTGTAAAGTCTGGCGTTATAACCAAAGTGGGTATGAGTATAAGGCCTAACCAAAACACAGCAGACGTGAACATCATCACATACATTCCCGTCATTACACTTCCTATTGGTAATAACGGCCAGGTGTTACTAAAAAAATTAAATTCATCCTTACAGTACGCCTTTTGCTGGTATTTGCGAAAGGTAATTGAAAAAAGTGTATAAACTTCAAGGGTATATGTGTTAATACAAAAATAAAAACAAAATGTAATACCATCTAGAGCCACGAAACATCACAAATTTCGTGCTGTTTGTTTGTGTTATTTAATCTACCATTTCCTCTATACCTTCGGAAGAATCAATTTCCAACTTTCTTAACTGACCCTTAGACGTGCTCGACATTTTTATAATATAAGCAATTAGAGCTGTACTACAATTAATTTATCAAATAATCGAAAGCCGAACTTTAAAACTGATTAAATGATAATGTCATTGTACACCTTGACAGCTTGTGAGAAACAGTTTTGAAAATTTTACGACGAAAACTATTAATTATAAAACTGTTTCTCTTTTTAGGCAGCATCATTTGAATAGTGTATGCTTCCCCCTCCTTAACTTCCGTTTATATCCGTTACATTCAGGAAATTACTCTTACAGTCCTACATACGCCCAGGCTCACATATCGGGCGGTAAAGTGTTATACTTCAAAAACAAATTTCCCTTAAAGCAGGTGCTTATTTTCGAATATGTAATGTCAGCAAACCAAATTCTCGTATTAATATGTAATAGATCTATCTTATAGTTTCTAAAAGGCATGCAATGGCATCATTATAAAGTCGCTATTGGTAACAGCCCCTTTAAGTAATAATGGTTGGTTCCAAGCGCTTTTAATATTAAAAAAAACTGTTTATGTAAGACTTACCTGTAAATCAAAATGAAGATAAACCAAAGAATAATAGATCCCCAATTAGCACAATGAGTTGGCCAAGACCATGTATTCGTTACTAGGCCAGCTTTGTAACAAACTGTCACCACAACGTACTGGAATAGAAAATTTTATTATAAGACATGCATAACGAATTGTTTTTATATATAACACATGTATTCCATCTTAAAGTGAACTAATTTTGATGCATTTTGTATGTTTAGTATTAATAACTTTCAGTCAATTTTTTAAATAATGTATATACTTTGAACTACATTAGAATATTTATATATAAAAGAAATTATGAGTGCTGTCAGCACAGGGTAAAGTAGTACTATGTAAATGAAAGTTAGTATCAGCAATTTCTTATGCTGAAGTGTACGATGTGTTGCATACACATTTACAAACAATTTTTTTAAATTTAATTTTTCAAATAATTTTTAACACAAAATTTTTTTTCACAAAGGTGAATTTCGACCACTCGAAGAAATGGTGGAACAGTTTCGAGTTTACAGTGGCTGATAGGAGGGAAGAACTAGTAATAAGTAAAATTTATTTGAACTGAATATTTGTCGACCAATGAAATCAGAACAAAGGACCTAGTAAGTAGGTAAAGATGACTTCAAATACAACATAATTCTTACCGTATAAACGCACATGCCGAACATTAGGTATCCACCATCTTTGCCGTTCAACCATAAAATGTCATTTTTGCACGCGAGAAGCGTTAGCCAAAACAGTAATGCCGAATGGACCATACCGTTCACTACCCACACCCAAAACACTTTGACATTAAACAATTGGCCGTTTTGACTCGGTCTATACAATTTTGGATACTTGAGCATCGTTTCTGCGGTGCACGTCTTATCAAAAAGTCCCATAGCCAGGGGTGGCAATGCAGTAAAAATGACGTTATAGAGGCCCATCGACCACCGTTCAAATAAGATTTGTCCAGACCATCCTGAATAAATTGCGAACCACAGCTGTGTTATGTAAAGGCATATGTTTTTGTAGAAACTGTACAATATCAGTTTACACATGCGAGAATAATTCCATGCACCGTGAACAAGCAATAGCCTAAGTAGGAAACGGAATTGTGCAATGCTATAGTCGGACGCGCATGCGGCTTGAAGTCCTTCTTGTCCTGATATGCCAACGCCAACGTGTGCCTTTTGGATCATGGCTACGTCATTTGCACCGTCACCTATGGCTAAGGTTACAGCTTTCGTATATTGCGTGATGTACTCAACGACTTCAGCTTTTTGCATCGGCGATACTCGACAACATATTACGACTTTGCATGAGATGCAAAGTTTCAAAAAATCGGTACGTAATTCGCAACTTAAAGCATATTTTAACGTTTTACCATCGACTATCAAAGCAATTTCGTTTTGTTTTTCTAAATTTGCACCCAAGTCTTCGCTGTGCTTCGCTATTGAGTCACGCGTATTCTGAAACAAAGAATAAACTACATTAAACATCAAAAGAATAATATATCGCATGTATGGTAAATACAATAGAACAATGATTAATTGCTATCGAAAATAGCAAAAATTAAGTAAAAATTCGTATTGGAATCTTGAAAATTACTTTTTAATAAGCATCTAATTTTCGGCAAAACTAATAAAGCTAAATAAATTAATGAAATTAAACAATCCGTGATACCAAAACTTTGTTTTCTGAAAATTTCAACAAATCGTATTGTTTAATTCGTAATAAATCAAAATTATGTAACAACTTTCCTTCAAATGTCAGAATTGGGTATACTTTTTTATAAGTAGATAAACATTTTAATGAAAATAATTATTAATTATAGACTTGCTTACATCGAGACTGTCATCATTTAAAATAATTAGTGGCATTCCTTGTACTAGTAGCCTACAAGAATACCCTATGTTTATAGCAGTTTCCTGTTTATCTCCTGTTAAAACCCAAACATAAATATCTGCTTTTAGAAGAGCTGCTATTGTCTCTGGTACACCTTCTTGTAATTTGTCTTCTATTGCCGTTGCTCCTAACAGTTTTAAATTCTTCTCTATCCGTTCTGACGCTTCTTCAATTTTGGCTGAAATAGACATAAAGGTAAATTTGAACTTTCAAAGTATATAGTTATAAAGATTATTTAATCGACGTAACTGGGTTTGTAAATTATACCTTCTCTATTTACAATTGATGTCGACGCCTCATGAAAGATGTTTTTCCATTGATTGTAGTCAGCTTCGCTTATTTCAACAACAGCGCAACAAAGTGTTCTAAGACCTTCGCAAGCAAAATTCTCCAAATGTTGTAATAACTGTTCACTATACTGCTGCTCAGACTCTGCTAGCCGCTCAAAGATAATCTATTGAGATAATATTTTACGTTTTGTAAAATTTATAAATTTTTACTTATAAATTTCTATTAAAACATTTTCTTAAGAAAGCAATAGTTTTTTTTAAATATTGTCAGATTTATCAAAAACAATACAGACATTGATAAATTTTAAAAGAATATGTTGTTTCAGAATAAAGTAAAAATGAATATTGGCTAAATCAAAAAATTTGCCTGATGTTCAAAACCCGAATCAAATTTAACTATAAATACGCATGTCTAAAAAGGACTAAATTTCTAACTCTAGTTCTTTCTTACACTGTCAGCTCCTTTGCAATAAAGTTTAATTTTGTTGTTGGGATCTCTAACGATTACAGACATTCGTTTTCTTGTCGACGTAAATTCAATTACATTTAATATTTGGTAACGTTCTTTGACTCCAAAGGCGTCGATTTGTACAAATTCTGGTGTGCGACTTTCGAAAACATAACCATACTTGGCGGCTCCGCCCACTAACGCTCGTTCATCTGAAATAAATAAAACACAAATAATGCAACGAAAAATTCCATCGAACCCTACACTATCGTACCTGGTGACGCTGCGTGATAAATTACATTACCATCTGGCATTTTTTCAGGAATAACTGTATGGCAAACCGATAACAAGACTAAAAATTCTTTTAATATATCGGCTGACTCATGTCCATCCTGTATAAGCTGAAAAATAATTTAGAAAATTATGTTAAACATGCAAATGGCAACATTATAATTAAATTTTGTTTTAACTATAGGTCTATTCTCATACCCCTTCTCTCCGTATGAAATTAATTATAAAACGGTGACAAATAACATAAAAAGGAAGTCACTAAGCAAAGAAAAAAATGCATCAAACGAGATTACCTATTAGATATCTAGGCCATCAAGAAAGAAGGAAGGAAGTTCTTTTATGTTTACCTTAATAAGCTGATCATCATTAGCATCAAAGACAATGTTTCCGATTGCTGCCCTTTTAAATTCCATTATATTTCTAGTTAAAGTGCCTGTTTTGTCTGAGAATATGTACTTTACTTGACCCAGTTCTTCATTCAAATTGGATGTTCTAGCCATGGCAGGTGTGTCAGTCTCGGCATGGTACATTTCGACGTCCATATTAATGAAAATTGCCTAAAATACAAAGAAGAAATTAGTTTTAATTCGCATATAAACATACAAAGTCCATATTCAAAATACAGTTACTCACTCACTTGTACAAACCTGACCATTTCTAAAGTCACTTGCAATGATATAGGAATTAAGTTGTTGAAAAGAATGACAAATGTAAGAAGATTGTACAAGAAATTTTGATTGGAGAGTTCTAAAAAAAAAGGAAACACGATATTATATTACAAGAAAAATAAGATCCTAAAAATTTATTTTTGATCAACATCAATTTGGATTTGTAGGATACACAGAAAAATATTTTTAACTACCTGTTAGTCCAATGTACCAATCTTTAGTGCCATGAGCATTTGACCACATCTCATTACAGACTGAACATACAATACACATGGTCAAAAGGATTCCAAAAAGTAAAAGAATTTGTAAATTGGTTAATTTGTCTACCGTAGAGCGTTTTAATGGTGCTCTGGTAGAATTTCTCATTAGTTTTGTTTCATGCCCTGTGTAAATAACCAATCCAAAAACCCAAGATGTATTACGTAGAACAGCACCTCTGAGTAAAAGTTGATCAGGACCTAATGGTTGTGCACTGAAAGTTTCAATTATAATTATATTTCAATTTAAAACAGAAAAACAGGGGAAAAAAGGAACTATTTGACAATATGTTTTAAATACTTGTACACCAAAAGAAACAAAATTAGCTTTTTTATTTTTTAAAATAGTTTATAAACTACTTACATTTTGTTAGTTTCTTTTAAAACTCCTGTGAATTCATACAAATGTCTGTTTGGTGGTTCACATTCAATGGTACCAGAAAGTGTTTTCAACTCATTTGTTGATGTTACCTTAGCTGTACTAGGATGAGCTTGTCTTATTTTTAGGTTTGTTTCACCATCCAAATTTGCTGTTTCTATAAAGCTCATACCTTGTGGTTCACTAAAAATAAAAACAATTTAGAATAACTTTATATCAAAGCACTTTAAGTCTAAATATACTTAGATGTAAATGTATAAAAATATATGCTCAACATTACCTGGAGGATAATAATATAAGGTCTGCAGGAAAAAAAGAATTATTTGAAATTCGTACTATATCTCCAACTACAACTTTCTTCCATTTTGTTGGTATCCAAGACTCTCCCTTGAGTACATCAACTATTCTATGATTTGTTTCATCATCAGCTCGATGTCTTTTCTAAAAGATTACCACATTGTTAATCTTCTGAGACAAACAATTGTTAACTAAACTTACTATATCTTCTATAATTTCTTTTACAGCTGATACTGTCAATATAAAAATGAGAGGCACTAAGGTAGTATATCGACCTGTTGGTGATACATCTGGGATTTGTTGCAATAAGGCTATCATTAAAAAAAATATATTTGCCCATCTTCGAAATTGTTCAAATAAGAACAGTGGTATAAATGTGAGAAGACTAAAAGAAAATACAATATTAATGAAATTTTTAGCATTCTGTGGGGCACTTTTTACTAGTGAAATATTACAAGAAGGGAAAACACAATGGATAGTTTAATTATAATGCACTTGACAATAACATTGGTTTACAATTAAATGTCATTTTTGTATTTCTGAGTAACTAAAAATGATCTTGTAAGTTGAAAAACTTTGTTGAACGAAGGAAATTGATAAAACTACCCATTCTTTTTTGTTTTCTTATTTTAAAAAGTAAATATGTACTTAATTATACCTTTAACCTGATTTTTATAAAACTGTAAGACATTTAATTAGGTGGTTATTATATTAATGACTATTATAATAAACCATTCACAATAAAACTATTTACTTACCTATATTTTGCCGTTGATATAGAATTACTAACGAATTTGTTAACAGGAGGTTGTGTCCTATTAATAAATATTATCCTATGATCAGCCACTGCTTCTACCTCATTAGTACTCGTTTCTCTATCCATTGCCGTTGGTGAACATCCATCTTCTCCAACTGGAAAATATTCTTCATTTTACTCAATATAATATAATTCAACTTAATTAAATTAAAATTACTTATATGGTAATCAGCTCCATTTTTTAAGTTCACACACATTATCATTAACACCTTCACCTACTAATATAATACACCTTCTCCTGGTATATAGGCAACCAAATATGCAACCACGTTAAGTTAGTTACCACTTTATAACTGCTATCATTTATAACATTGAAGAAAAAAATAAAAAAGTATTTTGCTTTTTTCTACATTGTACATGTTGATTAATGATTAATGATTACCTACACATTCCTAAACACTTTTTAAAATAAAACACTCCTTCCTATTACCGAAAATTTTAGGACGCAAGATACAAAATGATGCTTCTGATAACTACAATTCCAACGATAAAAAGTTAAAAAAAAGTTAATATGTCCCTATTACCTTCAATGAAGGCAACATAAAATTGTATTTCAATGCAATGGATTAATGAAACTAAGTTTTTAAATTACTTGACAAAACATCCGATTTTTCATAAGAGTAATGTAAAAAGTTTTTAGTTAACAAGAAGATGAATATGTACCTATTTTAAATATCGATTTCCCACTATGAATTTATGATTTTGAAGGATTTGCAATATTTATTTGCACATTTATTAATAAATATCTTTGACTGATTCATTTTCAATTTATATCAGAAATTTAATCGTTTTTTGCTAGTTTCATTTCTAATGAACACGTTACATTTCTTTTGATAAAGTTAATATCAAAATCAGCAAGCTTTGGACTGTTATTAATAATTTCAGAGCTCCGGCAGTTTTCTGAACCATTACAAGGTCTTTTGATGTCTTCATCGTTACTATTTTTTATTTTAATTTTTGCACTTAAAACATTCTCAGACTTCACATTTCTCTTCATATTATTGACTATTTTAGGAACAATTTTTTCTGTGAATATCATTTTTCCTTTTTTAATTGTTTTTTCGTTAAACCCATTTTTTCCTTTTGCAACCTTAATATCTTCGCTTTCTACTCTATGAGGTTTAATAGTAAAGTCCTCATATTTTAACATTTTCTTAGAGGATTTTTTCGACAGGTTCCTGTTAATCATTTCGGTGGACATTACATCAGAAAAAGTATCGATATAATACTCATTTTTAGTTTTATTATTTCTACCATGTTTCAATTTCAAATCAGGCTTTTCGTTACTTGATTCTGAGCAATTTTTATTTTGTTTTAGTATTGATTGGATAATATCTTCAAAACGTACATGATCATCATGTTCAGTATAATGTGATTTCGGAGTATGGGATTCCCCACTTCTATTTTCTTTAATGTTCACTGAATCTTCAGTATCATTTTCTTTTGTACCATTCTGATACGAAATTAACACAGTAGATTTCTTATCTTCATTTGCATCAGTTACACGTGAATTCAATTTTTTGTTTAAAAGTTTTTCAATTATTTTCTCAAAAAGTGGATCACTTTTATTAATTCCTGCTTTATAATTTTGATAATAGTCCTCCCCGTATCCACAAAGAATACTACTGCTACTTTGAGATTTTGGATCGTTTGCAATATTTTCTTTTTTGGAGCGTACCATACAATTCTTTTTATCAATCTTCGGATGTTCAATTGGATCAGTTTTGCGTTTTTCACATGACTTTATAAATGGTGAAAAGAAATCTTTATTTGCACCCAAGAAATCGTCTAGTTCTTGTGAATATTCTTTTATAGAGTTTCGTATATCTCTTATCTTACTTGCGCATAATGACGAATTGCTTACGTTTTGAGAATGAGCTCTATCTGTGTTATATTTTAAAAAGAAAAGAGATATTGGTTTTGACATTTTTGGAATTGGTACGATATTTTTAAAACTTCATGCTTAAATTGATTTTTGCCAACTACTGAAAAAATATGCACGCTATTGTTGTTTTTATAAAACAATATAGAGGATTACTATTTTTAGGTATTTCCCTTAATCGTATTTTTATGCCATAAAGCTTAAAACGTACGTAGATTATGGGAAATCATAGTCATTTCTAGAGTACTTTTAATTTTAGGCTTCAGTCGATGAATCTTACATCGTGGGAAAGCTTATAATGGGAGCTTTCGAATAAACTATACCGTAGGGTTCGGTAATAAGAGAAAGGGACGATTGTAGGGGTGAATGTTCAACAGATAGATACATAAACCCCTCTGTATAGTACGATATACGGAAAAGTCTATGACGAGAGCTTTCGAATGAACTATATCTCAATGGTCGGAGATGAGGTTGAGGAGACCACTTCGTTGGTGTTATCTTTTCCTACATTAACCTTATGATCTTAAGTATAACTGCCATAAGAGAAGGTTGGCAACACCATGACAGTTTATTGTATTGCGGAACCAACTTCAGACATGGTGTCGTAAACTTTTCATGTCCACCCTCAATTTTTTGATCACTTACCCCCTTACATTTTCCTTTCTCCTCATCTTCGGCCATTGATATATATACGTAACTTATTCGAAAGCTTTCAAACTCTTACCATAAACTTACCAACGATCTATGACTTATATATACTTGAAGTGGGGCGTACAGGTACCGGACTTGAGTCAAAAAAAATATTTGTAAGTTGTAAAAATTGAGTAAGAATAGAAAATTCACTAAACCAAGAGATCCCAACCTCTCCATAATCACCGCTAATTCTAGAAAACAAAAATTCCAGGGTCCCTACTGCTGCACATTACTGTGGGTGGGTCCCTACATCTGTGGGTACCTAATTTAATTGTGTATTTATAAAAACAGAAATGAAGAGGGGGAGGGGGGCTAAACCTAACAATAACCTTTCTTACTATTAAACTCAAGTATTTAGAATCCTTTTCTTTTTTTTATTTTATTGTAATTTAATTGTCACAAATATAAATAACACTCCCTCTTTGCCTTTGGATATTCGCTACCACCTCCATGGCAGGCTCTAGCGCACTAAACTAATGGATTACATACATTTGTCGCTTTTGTATACTTTGTACGAAAATTTTTGTAAATATTAATGTCGATTTTTAATGTAACTGGTAATAACACGCAACATCAAAATAATACAATTACGTATGGATCAAAAATAGACAGATTTACAAGTCTTGCTAATGGAACAATAAAATATTTATTGAAGCACAACCTAGTTACGTCAAAAAGTTTTTTTGACTTTATCGATTGGAAAATTATTACTCATTTCTCATTATACTATAGTAACAGTATATAAAAATGTTTTTGTGTTTTTTGAAATTTATAAATGATATCAATTCAAGGGTAAACAATAACCATAATGTGATGAAAAAGGGTACCTAATCAGAAAAATGGATAATACCAAACAGTAGCAGGCACATATACATTTACACTAAGTACCTAATCTTTTAACATTAAATTGAATTGATATTGAAAGAATTCTTATTGATTCTTATTAGAAAAAAATAATTTAAAGTTACCTACACATTTTTTTAAATCATCTTACACATACATCAGATATTTCTTGTTTTATTTTGAAGGGTAATTAATTTGGGGAGTTAATTAATGTAGGGGGGGGCAATTCAACAATTATTTTATACAAAATACAGCATGCGCTTTAGTTAGATAGGTAGACTGATTCCTTGTGGTACTAAAAAAATAGAAATAGTTGCCTTTTTTGCTTGCTTGTTAAAATTCGAAGAAACCCACTTATTTACTAAATTTTCTGGATTTTGAATATCAAAATTATCATTCTAAAATTGAACAGCTACTTCGGTTTAATTAACGATTAATGGTAAATGATAAATTAGATTTAATTTCCAGTGACCTTATTCACTCAACGACTTTACTCAAAACATTCGTGCATTTTTATGACTAACATTTGGGATTTATTATGTCAGCACATTTGTTGCATGTAAAAATTTTACAAAAATACATGTATTCTTATGGCGCGCGTTTTACTCACCCGTGAGCTGTCTGACCAGTCGTTTCGCAGTCTTTTTTTAAAGAAAGCAGAATCTTAAATTTATTGTATGATAAATGTACCTGCGACCTACGCAAACACTACATCCATATAGATATTAAATAGCAATAAATTTACAACCGAACATGCTAATTAAAATATTGTCAGATACTGACTAGTTATACGATAGGTATTAACACGGAATTTAATTTCCGGGTTGAAATAATGGTGGTAATTATAATTGCTCGAGAACTCCATTAAATGCAATTGTGTGGCTACAAAACAACAGATACGTACTTTTCCAAAGGCAAGGATACAAATAAATACTACGCTTTTATAAGTTTAAAAATCTGCGGTTGTTAATAGCCAACAAATTATTTAAATTATAATAAAATCAATTGTCTTGTAAGTATAAATTGCATCACGAAAAAATATTGATCGCTTAATCTACTGTTNTTACGATATTATATTTATTTTTTTTAATAATTTTAATTATAAAAAACAATAATGGATCCCCAAAAATTTTTTCTTCGTGCCAAATTGAGTAGAAAGTTTTGATATTATGGCGTACGTGATAACATTTTCCATTACTTTCCGATATTAACTAATTGATTTATCATTAGTAAGAGGTCTTCAGAAAGAAGATACTGGTTGAACATTTCTATTTATCTTGAGCCAATCTTGGCAGTTTTCGAAAACCACAGCAACATTTCCAAATCATAAAATAATCTAGGTCTACCTCTACCCATCTTAACTCCTGTTTCTGCTTCTAATAATCTATTTCTACAAACTAGCCGTTTATGTCTGAAAAGATGTTCTACCAACTGAAGGCATATAAATTGGTATCAATGAAATTATTTCTTTTATAATAAATTCGCTTGTTAATTTAGAAATTCGAAAAAGGTTGTTAAAGGTATATGTTTGGAGCACGGCATTGTACGNAATATACAGTTTGTATTGCTGTATAATTAACTAAAAGGGTAATACAATTTCATGCTTTTCGATAAGAAAAATGCACTCATTCAATTTCAGGATAACCACTTATGCATCGATTAACAATTCCATTAAAA